CCAACAACTGCTGTCATCTCTCTTCTTGTTTATTTTGCTGTTATAGCTGCCACTGTTGCAGGTTTTCTTGCAAATGCTGTTGTCTCTCTTCATGTTTCTTTTCCTCCAACAGCTGCTGTAATCTTTCTTCTTGTTTATTTCTCTTTCTTGTTTATTTTGCTGCTCTTGTATTACTGCCATCAAATCTACTAAGCTGTAGTTTGATTTGCCGCTTCTCGTTTCCATTTTTTTTGTCCCACTCTCTGACACCCATTTGTTACACCTCTGTGTTCGTTTGTTAATTTTCCGAAAAAATTCTTTCCGAAGAAACTTTAGTGATACAAGTCCTTTCTTCAATAAAACTAGTTTATTTTTTCTCAATACAACTTTGCAATACACTTAATTTCCACAGTCACACTATAACTTAATCAAACGCTATAATTCACAACGAACGATTCACAAGCTTGACTCAATTGTCCGTCCCTATCTCTGTCTGCAATTCAATTCCATTGTTGCCGTCACTTCTTACCAGTCTTATATATACAAAAAGCGTACTTTTTCTTCATGAATCTTCTAGAATATCATGACGTATTACCAGTGTCACGTGACTACCGCTGTCGTAACACTATATTACCTACGTCAGTATTTTGTATTCTTTTTGTACTACATTGTTAAGCTAGATCAAAGTTTGGTGAGGTCTTCTATATTACCTACGTCAGTATTTATTATGGTTTTTGAACTACATTGTTAAGCTAGACCAAAGTTTGATGAGGTCTCCTATATTACCTACGTCAGTATTTTTTATTGTATTTGTTTGTTTGTTTGTTTGTTTTGTAATTAAGCACAAAGCTACACAATGGGCTATCTGTGCTCTGCTCACCACGGGTATCGAAACAGCGGTATGCCTGCGGACTTACAACGCTAGAATCCGGCCCCCCCAGTGGCACTATTAACCAGGAACTGCTTTTAAATTTCAAACTTCAAAGTGTTCAATTTTCATTGAAACCCAACAGTAAACGTGTATAATTTGCATTCTCGGCCTGTAAAAAGCTCAATCTAACAGTTAACATAAATTATTTATTGACTTTTGTATACATTTTTCTGCCTACCATATATGGATAACATGAAGTGTTTAGAACTTAGCAAATTAACAGCACTCATTAAAAGAATGATCGAACTATATAACGTAGATTAAGTTATTAATTACTTTTATCTGCTGTTGATTACAAGTTTATTTTTTTATGGGTTCCCCGGTGAGTCAGTGGTAAGCTTACAGATTTACAACGCTAAAATCCGAGGTTTGACAGAGCAATATCAGTCCTTGGTTTAGATTTGCACTAACAACAAATAAATAAACAAACTTCTTATTATGGAAATGTGAATACAAGAAAGAAGTCTTAAGAAATACAAGAGTGCCATTATGTTTGATGTTTTTACAACTATTCAGTATCACAAGTAGGCTTAGCGAAGATCAATCCAAAATTAAATTCTGTCACGGCTGCGTCAGACCAGAGGTTCTCATTTCTGTTGGGTCAGGATCTACTTGTAAACATTGATTGCCAGTCTTGACCCAGTAAATGGTTTTGAAACACTGCGCCAAACGATCAAAATGTGAATATTCTGGAAACTTGTAATATATTAGTTTCGCGTTATTTTAGAATCAGTCAATCATGGCAGTTATTTGGGTTTAATGCCCTTTAAACTTCGAAAAAGTCTTTGGAGTCTGAAAGACAATCCAAAGTGCTCAGAATTTTTTTTTCATCCACTTTATCTGTATTGAATATAAATAATGATATATCTTTTTTTTTAAAGCGAAAACGTTTATTAAACACTTGCAGTAATTGCCAAAACATGGATTTTATAAAGTCTGATTTTTTTTCTCACGTTTCTGGTATGTGACAATAAAAAAAAAATATTTCAATCAACGCTATGTTTCTGTTAGTTTTTAAAAATACATAATCTAACCACTAAAAACTAAATATATACAGTATATTGTCTTCTTTTATAAACGGGTTTTAACTTCATGATATAACGATTATAAAATATTTGTATTAAATGAAATAATTGTTGTAATAAAGCATATATCTGACATTACGTAATACAACGTTCGTGGATCATTTCTTCAGTTTTAACTTCATGATATAACGATTATAAAATATTTGTATTAAATGAAATAATTGTTGTAATAAAGCATATATCTGACATTACGTAATACAA